GAGCCCGGCAGCCCCGTGGTGCGAGGTACCAGCACTGTCCCAGCACCAAGTGTGCGAATCCCAGGGCGGTGCCTGGAAAGTGCACGAGACGTGGTGCCACGCGCGGGAGCAGGCTCAGCCTCACGTTCTGCAGAGAAGCCCAGCAGCAGACAGCCATTTTCTGTAGGCAGGGTGGTGGTTTCCCTGGCAGGTAATGCCTCTTACTTCCCGTGCGTGGATGTGGGGAGGGACACCAGGCAGGCCCTTGGTCAGTCCTTTCCTAGTGAGGAGTTAACAGGAGGTTGTGATGCTGTCCATAAAGATGAGCCGTGCCCATCTGCCAGCTGCCGCACCTGCCCTGGAAGGGAGAGATAAGATGTAGAAATTAATGTGGAGGCTCTTTGGAGGAAGGTTAGGACTGTACAGCCAGAAATGGGGGAGCCGGCCCCTCCATTCTCCTGCACTGTTTGGGTGCCAAGCCTGTGGGAGCATGGCACGCATGGGGCTGAGGCCAGGGTTGCAGCTTTCCCGTGTGTTAATGGGGAGTCCTGCCTGTTCTCACTGATAAACGATTGCTTCGTGGGCCTTGCAGCCGGCATGGAGGCTCATCTCCAGGTGTGGCTGAGATGTATTTTTCCCCTGATGCTGACAGTTGCCAGAATGGATGTGGGTTGCCGTCAGCGGGCCGGCGGCGGAGGGAAGGGCTATTGCTCATTGTGCAGCACTGGAGGCTTCACAGGCGCAGCAGCTCCCACCTCGTCTGCGTGGCTGAGCTGCTGCCGCTCCCTGCCACCGCCAGCCATGGTGAGCGCAGAGGAGGGTTTCTGTGGATGTGCAGAGCTGCTACAGCTGCTCTGGTTTTTGAATAAGTCACAATTGGCAGCGTGGGGGTCGGGCTCCTGCTTCCTGCTCGGTCTTTAGCATGTAAAGAAGCCTGGAGAGCCAGCAGCGGCACTGGAGCAGACCGAGATCATGGCGATGCCAAGCTCAGCACTTCTCAGGCTTGCGGTGTCAGAACCGAAGCGCCAGTGATCTGCTCCTTCAAGTAAATGAGTGCAGATATTGATTTTTTTTCTTTCCCTTTGGAAGAATCAGGATTGCAGCCTGCAAATGAGGGAGGAGATTCCTAAACTCCCAGACATCAGCCCTAACACAGCTTCTTCCAAGGGTCAGGAATTAGCTTCTCTTGCCAATAGATTGCTCTGTAGCTGCCTGTTGCTGCTGTGCAGGGGTTTTCTGGATGGATTTTATTCCCCCCCACACACAGCTTCTTCCCAAGCAGCTGGAGCTGTGTGCAGCTGGATGTGCTTCTTGCTTGATGAAGCCCAGTTGTGATCTCTTCCATTTGCTGCTGCAGCAGCCGCGTGTGCTTTAGGATATTGCCCAGGCAAAGCCTGTAGCCAGGCTGCCACTTGGCCATGGCTCTGTGGAGCCCTGAGCCTTTGTCCAGGCTTGGGGCAGCATCACTCGCCCTCACCTCGATGCAGCACTGAAAGGTGTCCGAGGAGTGCGGCGTGGACCCAGCAGTGATCCCTGGGTCTCCGTCTGCAGTGGGGCCGGGGCACGGTGCCTCTGCCATCGACACGGATGGGCTCTGGCAGCCTCTGTGTCGACGACTGTCCTGGCCGCTCCTTCCGTCCCTGCCCGGCCTCACTGGGAAGTGGTTGCAGTCCCAGTGCGGTGTGGGGCCTCTTTGCCTGCTGAAGACTTGACTTTCTGTTTCTTCTGTTCTCCCCTGCTCTGCAGTATTACGAGATGTCCTACGGGCTGAATATTGAAATGCACAAACAGGTAGGGGAAGGCATTTCCAAGTGCTCTAATTCCTGGGGAGGGTGGGTTGTCTGCCGTCCTTTGCTCTCTGTCCTTTCAGTGGTATTTTGGGAACTAGAAACGCCATGAGCCTGTAAAATGCCAGAGCTGCCTCTGAAATAGTGCCGAGGGCTCACACCTCGGGCTGGGCCACTCTGCTTCCCCCAGGGCCTGAGCGGATGCTGGAGCACCGGGCAGGCTGGGTGTGGAGCTGTGGCCTGGGTCTGTCAGCAGCCCCAAGCCCGGGGTAGGGCAGGTGGTGACCCCTCGCCCCTCGCAGGCTCCTCCCTGGGAGAACAGTGCCCTGGAACAGGACCCAAGCTGCCACCCCTCACCACCGGGAGCTGTCCCAGCCCATTCCACTCCCCTGGGACTGCAGGGCCCCGTGGCTGCTTTTGGTGGGCGCCTGAACCCCTCGGCTTGGTGCCTTCCGACTCTGTCTGAAAGTGATGGCAAAGGGCTGGTAGCTTTACTCTTTGCCAGAAGCAAAGCAGTTAACACTCCAAAAATCAACTATATTAGGAGGGGCATTGAGGCGAGGTGACCCCCCCCATGGCACCAGGACACTGCCAGCATCGTTCCCAGTGCAGTGTGGCCATTCGGAGACCTGCCTGGGGAGGGGGAGGTGGGCAGCTGGTGCTGAGGGTGGTCGGTCCCAAAACACTTGATGTCTTCCCTCTCCGTTCTTCCCTTCCAGGCCGAAATCGTCAAGAGGTTAAATGGGATTTGTGCACAGGTTCTGCCCTACCTTTCCCAAGAGGTGAGTCCCTGGCTCGGCTCTGGCCGGGGCACGCTGGGGGGAGCGAGGCCCTGTCCCGCTGCAGGGCAGCTCCTGGCCCTGGTCTGGAAACCCCTGTGGCCCTCAGCCCCTGCGCAGGACAAGCCCTTCGGGATGGGTTTGGCCTGGAGCCTCCTGAGTGCTGTGTGGCTGCCGCTGTCCCTGTCTGTCCCTGCTGTGGACAGAGGTGGGCTCTGTTCTCCCGCCTGAGAGTCCCGAGTCGTGCCACTGCTGTACAGGCACTGGGAACGTCAGGCAGCGAACTGGGGGAGGGGGGCACTTAAAAAATGCCCCCGTATGGCTCCTCCTTGAGATCTGGCTCCTCGGCCTCATTAATTAATGCAGCTGATGGACTCCTCCAACTCACCTGAGATATTCATTGGTAGTCTGGGAGTCACTGCCTGAGGTAGGAGGACAAGGAGGTGCCTGCAGAGCCAAATCTGCCTGTCCCCACACAGAGCTGAGCTTCACAGGAGTGCCCATGGTGGGTCGTGGTCAGGATGAGCCAAGCGTGCTGCTCCTCGGTGGGGCTGGCTGTGGGAAAGGGACAGGATGGGCTTTTCCCACCGCCTGTGCTCAGGGAGGACAAAGTGGCTTGCGGATTAAATCAGAACTGCCTAACGGCTAAGCCACAACCAAACCTTCTGCGTCTTAATGCAGCCCCTTCCCCCTCCAACCCTGCCCCGCTGCCAAGATGGAACGCAAAATAACGCACGTGTGTCTGTGTGAGACACAGCGGGGCTGGGTCCCTGCTCGCCTGCCCCATGATGCTGGAAATGACTCTGAATTCCTCTGTTTCTCCACACCAGCACCAGCAGCAAGTCCTGGGGGCCATTGAACGAGCCAAGCAGGTTACGGCGCCAGAACTGAACTCCATCATCCGCGTACGTGATGCATGTTTAGGTTGGGTTCAGAGGGATGGGGATCCGTGTCTTTGGCCTTGGAGGCAGCGCTGGGCAGAGCGGTGCTGACCCAGGGATATGAGCTGGGAGCAGGCTCTGGGGGCTGGGCTGGGTTTGTGCAGGCTTGCAGGGACGTGGGCATGGGTTTGCAGGGGAGCACAGGTTCCTGCAGGGGGCAAGGAGAGGGGCTGTGGTTTTAGCAGGAACTGCAGCAGCTCCCTGACTTGAAAACACCATCTGCTCTCGGTCGAGGTCGGGGCAGTATTTAACCGCATCCTTGGGGCACGCCAGAGTCAGAGGCCAGATGTCCTGTGGGTAGGGCTGTGTGTCGTACTGGGACGTGTGGTTCAGGCTCCTCTTGGGGCTGTTGCAGCCCAAGGACTCTGCAGCCTTTACCCTTGCCCCAGGGCTGCGGTGGTCTCCAGGACTTGTAGGTCTTTAAGCCTGGCACAGCTTGTCCAGCAGGCCAGGCCCTTGGGTTGGCATCCAAGCACAGTCCAAATGACAATGTCCCTCTCCCATCTTCCCGTCTGCCCATCGTTCCCTACAGCAGCAGCTCCAAGCTCATCAGCTGTCGCAGCTCCAAGCCCTTGCTCTGCCTCTGACTCCGCTCCCTGTGGGCCTCCAGCCCCCGTCCCTCCCCACCGTCAGCGCTGGCTCCGGGCTCCTCTCACTCTCGGCCCTGGGCTCCCAGGCTCACCTCTCCAAGGAGGACAAGAACGGCCACGATGGGGATGCCCACCAAGATGACGACGGGGAGAAATCGGATTAGAGTGAATG